GGTATATTTATAAGCTGAAGCAGTGTGCAGCCATTTTATTTGATGATAAATGAAATTCAAAATGGCATGACAGTATTCACAAAAGCCAAGTCAAAAAGAGGCTAAATAGGACACAGTGGTACCTTCCTTTAATTCCAGCACTCTGGAGGCAGAGGCAGGCAGATCTCTTGAGTTCCAGACTGGTCTACGTAGTGAGAACTTGTTTAAAATAAAAAAACAAAACAAACAAAAACAAAAAAGAAAAAAAAAAGCAACCTTGCGGTGGCACCACCTGTAAGCCCAGTCCTCCCAAGAGGCTAACCCTGAAGATCTGAGTGCTCTCCCACTGAGCTACACCACCAGCTTCTAAATGGCCCCTAAAACAGCAAGATCTTGTTTGTGGGTAAAAGTGTGTTATATATGAGTGTGTATGAGAAAGAATGTGTGTGTGTGGGTAAGAGTGTGAGTACATATATAATTGTGCTGGTATGTGAATGGGAGTACATACAGAAGTGTGTGAGAGAAAAAGTGTGTGTATGAGAGAGAGAGAGAGAGGAAGAGAGAGAGGGGGAGGGAGGGAGGGAAGGAGACAGAGAGAGAGGGAGGGAGAGAGGGAGGGAGGGAGGGAAGGAGACAGAGAGAGAGAGAGGGAGGGAGAGAGAAAGAGAAGGAGAGAGAGAGGAAGGAAGGGAGGGAGGGAGAGAGAAAGAAAGAGAAGGAGAGAGAGAGAAGGAGAGAGAGGGAGGGAGGGAGGAAGGAAGGATGAGGGCAAGCATGTAGAGATTAGAGGTAGACCAGCTGTGTTCCTTAGCTCCTCTTCACTGTATATTTTGGAGATAGGGTCCCTTGCTGAACCTGGACCTCCTGCCAAGTGCTTTCTGATGGAGACACTCCTTTGTTTTGTTTTTAAGATAAAGTGTTGCTAGGTGGTGGTGGCGCATGCCTTTAACCACTGCACTCAGGAGGCAGAGGCAGGTTGATCTTTGTGAGTTTGGGACCAGCCTGGTCTACAGAGTGAGTTCCAGGACAGGTTCCAAAGCTACAGAGAAACCCTGTCTCAAAAAGCCATTTAAAAAAAGAAAGGAAGAAAGAAAGAAAGAGAGTATCTTGCCCAATTGAGAGGCACATGTTTTTAATCCCAGCACTCAGGAGGCTTAGGCAGGAATATCTCTGTGAGTTCAAGGCCAGCTGAATCTGCAGATCCAGTTCCAGGCCAGCAAAGGCTACATATTGAGAGTCTATTTTAAAACAGAACACAATAAAATAGATAACTCGTAGAGTCAGGGAAGCCTTGAAGATCTGCCCTGCCAAGGACAGCAGATCGTGAGAACCTCTTCACCCCTTCTCTAAGCCTCTGAATAGACAGTCTTGACTTGTTGCTTTGGCTAGTCTAAAATTCATGGGTTCCAGAGGGTCCTCCTCTCATAGCTGCCCAAGCTGGGATTGAAAGCATACATTGTCATACCACTCAAGGAAAATTTATTTCTGTTCGCAGTCTCCTCATAGTGGGAGGGTGCAGCATCAGAGGACATGGCTCAGACAATTTAGGAACTACTCCTTCATTGGGAATGTCTGGAAAGGTGAACTTACTATATGTGTGTGGAGAGCAGGTGGGAAAACTCATGGTCCATGCTGGACTGGCTTTCCAGCACATGCGCTTTTACTGCAGAAGACTGAATGACCGCCCTTATGTGGTTGAAAGCTGACGTACTCGGTGGTGGGCAGGGAAAGGCCCAGAAGGAAGGCCACCTGCTCAGCACAAACAAGCACAGGACCTGAAGCCAGGTCTAGCTGCCAAGGCAGGTTTCCCCCTCACACACACTGACGTGGCAGAGGCTACTAGACTTGAATGGGCTGATCCACAGTGTGATTTGGAAAGCCATTCTGACTCTGAGGTGTCCCCCACCCACCCCCACATTCTTCTCCCTTCTTCCCCCTTTTCTTCTCTCCCCTTTTCCCCCTTTTTCCTCTCCCCCCCTTCTTTCAAGGTATAATTTTTTCAAGTGTACAATAGGGTGACCGTGTTCACACTGTTATGTAGTAGGTGGCTAAACCCTTCATTTTGTAAAATGGAAACTACCTGCTAAGCAGTTATCCAGCCCAGCCCAGCACAAGCCAGCCCCTTGGAACATTCTTTCTCTGTGATTTAACTATATGTGCTTTGTGTGAGTGGAACTGTACAGGGTTTGCCTTAAATGATGATACACACACACACACACACACACACACACACACACACTTTGGTTTTCTCGAGGCAGGGTTTCTCTGTATTGCTTTGGAGGTTGTCCCGGAACTTACTCTGTAGACCAGGCTGGCCTGGAACTCATAGAGATCTGTCTGCCTCTGCCTCTCCAGTGCTGGGTTTAAAGGTGTGCACCAACGTCCAGCTGTGATACATGTCTTTAATCCCAGCAGCCACACTATTTAGCCAGAGAGGTCAGGCAGTGGTGATACACATCTTTAATTCCAGCCCTGGGGAGACAGCGGCAGAGGGATCTTTGTTAATTCAAAGCCACTCTGGGCTATTTGAAATTGGACTAGTCTAAGAGAGAAACAGAGCTCACACAAAGGTGATCCCGGTACTCAAACTGACATGCCTTTAATTCCAGCACTAAGGAGGTGGAGACAGAAAGGGATACGGCTGGGCAAAGACAGTAATATAAGACAGGAGGAGACAGTTGCACAGGGCAATCTGGACAGCAGTCAGTCTGAGGCAGCAGTCTAGGCAGTCAGTCTGAGGTGGCAGTGTAGGCAGTCAGTCTGAGGATTCCTAGAGACAGGATCGCCACTTCATAAGAACTAGTGCCTGCTTTGCTTCCCTGACCTGACTTCCCTGCTTTCTGACTCTGAGTTTTTATTATTAAGACATAATAGAATTCATGCTACACATGCTTCCTTTTTCTATTCTCCTCTCCCCTGTAACCATGCCACTCCAAGTTAGAACATTGTGATTCTCTGTTTATAATTTCTCAAAATGAAACGTGAGTTTTAACATTGGCTTCCAGGATTTAAAAGTCTCAAGATTCCACATTGGAATCTGGATTTCCTGCTTCTTTTGAAAATCCAAAGTCCTGGCATTACCTCTGACTGAGATGAAGCGTCCTGTGCCCAAGGGATGGGGGACATCCTTCTGCCGTTCCCCAGGCTCCATACACAGGCCTCCTTTGGTCATTTCTGTACTTCTTTGGTTCCTTCCATGACTGGATTTGAAAGCTTTGGTTTGGGTCCTTGGATACAGGTTTGAAATGTTTCTAAGAATATAGACTGTGATTCTCTTTAGGATGCTGCCTTCCTCCAAGCTTCCAGGTGATAGGGATGTTGGTGGCTAGGGGAGCACAGCCAGGGGAGCATAGCCTGAGATTGAGGATCAGTCTCCCTGTTCCTCAGTCCATTACCCACAGCATGGTGTTCCGTTGTCTAAAACAACACAATTACTGGTGAGTACCCAGAGCAGCTACTTTTCCCTATTTCTTGGGTTTGCTTTCTTTTATTTCACTTTGAGATGGATGTAGCCCAGGGTGACCTAGAACTTTCAGTCTTCCTTCCCAGGCGTCCTAAATTCTGGAAGCAGCAGGCATGTGGCCCTGTGTTCAGCAGGATTCCATCTTTGGCTTCCCACAGAGTAGCATGACTCCCTTCCTTGTGCACAGTGCACAAGTCAGATATAATGCAACTGCTACCCCAAGTTGAGAAGGAAACCTTGGAAATAAAACATTGACATTCGCCTCCTCCTTGATGGCCACATCCCTGAGGTCAACCCACAGGAATTCAAAATGATTCAGCTAAGATTTCGAGCCTCTCTTTCCCACAGCCTAAGAGTCTGGGAGTCACTTTTTCAAGGTTACACTGCTGCAAACCACTGAATTTCCCAAAACCTCTGTGATTTTTTTCCTTTTAAAGACAGTTTCTCACTGTACAAACCTTGACTGGCCTGGAATTTGCTATGTAGACCAGGAGACCAGGCTAGTCTTGAACTCACAGTGATCCACCTACTTCTGCTTCCCAAATGTTAAGGTTAAAGCTATACATAACGATATCTGACCCTCTCCCCTCCCCCAGCCCTAGCATCACATCATCCTAACATCTCCTGGCTCCAAGTTGTGTGTGTGTGTGTGTGTGTGTGTGTGTGTGTGTGTGTCTGTCTGTCTGTCTGTCTGTCTGTCTAGGACCTGAGGGTTTCTAATTAGGCTGGTTAACCAGTGAGCCTCACAGATCCTCCTTTCTGTGTTTCTCCAGGTTGGGGTTACAGGTGAATGCCACCACATCTAGATTTTTACATGGGGTGCTGGGCATCAGACTCTGGTTCCCATTCTTAGAAGACAAGCACTTCACCAAGTGAGCCATTGTCCCATTGGTTGTGTGGGGACCATGCTAATTGTCTTTGTATTGTTTGAACTTTACTAAGTGTGCTGCTGAAGTGAGTGCTCAAACTATCTTTTGATTTGATTATAGAGGGTGTAAGAACAGCAAGCTTGGGCAGGGGAGATGGCTCAGTGGGTAAGGACACTTTCTGCCAAGCCTGATGACTTGAGTTTGATTCACAGGAACAATACTTTAGGAGAAACATATCCACAAATTGTCCTCTGACCTCCACATGCTTACACTGTCAGGAAAGAACCAACTCCTGAAAATTGTCCTCCGACTTCCCCAACACACACACACACACACACACACACACACACACACACAGTAGGTAAATATACTTCTAAAAAACATTTTTTTAGATAAGCTTTTTCTTGTGTTGCTCTGGGTGTCCTGGAACTTGCTCTGTAGACCAGGCTGGTCTTGAACTCATAGAGATCCATCTGCCTCTGCCTCCAGAGTGTTAGGATTAAAGGTGCACCACCACGGCCCAGCATAAAATTCTTTTTGAAAATAAAAGCAAGGACTAGATGTGGTTTAATCCTATCACTTGGGAGGCAGAGGCAGGCAGATCTCTTTTAGGTCAAGACCAATTAATTAATTAAATTTAAAAAGAAAAGCAAGTTTGTATTTTTCTTTCTCTCTTACCCAAATTGCAGATCCCCTTCACTGGAAGCCAGTTTTGGCTTTCCAACTCTTTCCAGTGCAATTCCTGAAGCATTTAGCAAAGAGCTGAGAACCAAGTGACTCTCTGATACAGTTGTACTTCCTTGATTTTTGGTCTTAAAGTCTCCATCACTGTTAGGTAAGACTCCTGTCTCATCTCCATGCCCGACCCAGGAAGTCATTGTCTTCTCTGTGCTGGGCTTACCTTCTACTGGAACCACCTTTGCTTTTCCTGGCCACTCTGCACTCAGAATGTTCTTGTTATTTGATGAAGGTTGTTCCACCTCCCTGAGTGGTGTTAGGGATCGAACTCGGGGCATCGCACATGGTGGGCAAGTGCTATATGCCACTGAGCCCCTCAGCCTTTGATTAGATCTTAGGGTTACACTAAATGTTTGAGGGATGCAACTGCAGGTATTTGAGAAACAGGTGGCCTCTTTCCCATCTCTTTTTTGAGGCTGCGGTTCATCACTTTTCTTTGTTCCCTTTCTGAACTATGTATGTCAGACTAACCATTTGAAAACTTGGTGGAAATAAATGCTGAAAACTACCAGGTACTAAAAGTTATTCAAGAGGAAACAAAAAAATACTAACAATGACTCTAAATTAAAAATTCTAGCCACTGAACATTTCACCAAACCATGTGTCCATGAGCAGCTCTCGTAGCCATAGAGGAACAGAAACCTTCTGCCTTGCCACACTGAGAAACAAAACCTAGTTACTTCCAGCACATCTGTCATCAAACTAGAAGGGACAGTGAAAGGAACGTGGTTGTTCTGCCTCAGTCATAACAGACTCAGCAATCATGATAAAAGCATTAGCAATGCCTTCAGGGGGTGGGGAGATAAACACCATGGTCTGGATAAAGCCATTGCACTCCGGATGTGCTGACCCCGTGATTTCCTCCAGTGTGGGAAACTTGTGTTAGTGGGGGACTGCGCTTGCAGACTCCCTTGAAGAGGGACATACGAAAGAAGACTCGCCCAGGAACGTCTATTCCAGGATGACAAAGAGGATTTAGCGAAACAGACAAGTGAAGGGCTGGAAGCAAAGCAGCAGCAAGCCTGCCATTATTTTCAGGCATTATGGTTGCCATGGAAACATCGGAATTGCTGGGTATATCAGTTAGCTAATGCTGTGTAAGAAGTAATCTCAAACTGGGCGTTGGTGGCGCATGCCTTTAATCCCAGCACTCGGGAGGCAGAGGCAGGCGGATCTCTGTGAGTTCGAGACCAGCCTGGACTACCAAGCGAGTTCCAGGACAGCCTCCAAAGCCACAGAGAAACCCTGTCTCGAAAAAACAAACAAACAAAAAAACCAAAAAAATAAGTAATCTCAAAATTTAGCAACTACAAACATTCACTGCACTTTCTGAGAATGAGAAATATGGGGTAGCAGTGTTGCCTGGGCTTCAGCTCAGGAGGCTGAAGGCAAGTTCTTGAGAAGGCTGCCATCGTGGAATGGGAGGAGGACCCACTTACCATCCTGCTCTTAAGGCTTTGGGCTGGTTTTCGTTCTTCACATGGTCCTACACATATAAATTTTACACACTGCAGCATTACGACAGCAGGTGTCCCCTGGAGAGACCACTAAGAAAGTGAACTGATGGGACTAAGGTATGCTTCGGAGATGAAACACTGGCCTGGCATGTGTGAGGCTCTGTTGGTTTAATCACCAATACTAAAAAAAGTGAAGAGAAGTGGAAGCTGCAGTCTCCTAATGATTGAACTCAGAAAATGACACCTTCACTCACTACTGTTGCATTCTATTCCAGTGGACCACTGTCCAGCTTGCAATCTACTCAAGGAGGCAGATACCAGGATCATCAGGCTATCAACCATAGTGTCAGAACCAAAATGGAACCGCTTGTGTCAAACCCTAACAAATACAAAGAGTAAAAGAATCCAGGAGGCTGTGAAAGAGTTGGAAGGGGCCGAGGCACTTGTGTATAAGAGAAGGATTAGTCTCACAGTAAATATGACTGGGATGGTGAGTTTTCCAGAAAGTGAAAACGTACCAGTCAGCTCCAGGAAGAGCAAAGACTGAGTTATTTAAAAAGGAAGTTTGAAGGGCCCTGAGGTGGTGGCGCATGCCTTTAATCCCAGCACTCGGAGGCAGAAGCAGGCAGAGCTCTGTGAATTTCAGATCTGCCTGACTGTCCTGGAACTCACAGAGAACCACCTGCCTCTGACTGGGCTTAAAGGCATGCATCACCACACATGGCCCAATATATAATTTTTATCTTTAATTTAATGTGCATTGATGTTTCCCCAGCATGCATGTCTGTGTGAGGGTGTCAGAAGCCCTGGAACTGGAGTTACAGACAAGTATGAGCTGCCATGTGTATGCTGGGAATTGAACCCAGGTCCTCTGGAAGAGCAGCCATCTCTCCAACCCCAAGGTCACAATTTAAAAACAAGACAGTAGACACACTTTTGGGTACTCTTAGCTCAAAGTCACAAAGCACATGTGCAAAAGATAAAAGTGATGGACAGAAATGGCTCTGGGCATGTTCAGCTTGTACCATAAGTTTAAAATGAAGATGTCAGCCTTGCACAGTCACTAACACAGGGAACGCTGAAGCATTTCAGAGGCCACCACAGTTTCCACACTGGCTGCACCATGCTGTCTTCCTGCCACCAGTCATCAGACATCAGCCTCCCATCCTCACCAGCACTTGCATTTGTTTTCTTTCCTTTCTGTCATCCTTTCTGGCGTAGTTGATGGTTTTGACTTGTACTCCTGCATGACTAATGTCATCAGCATCTTTTTGCCTGCTTATTGCCCATTCCTAAAGGTATTTAGGACAGGACAGGCTTCTAAGAGGCCAAACTGCCTTCATGAGTCACTGAATCAGTGCAATTAAACCAATGATAATCACATCAAAAGAGTTGGAAATAGGCCTTCTGGGTGGTACACCCCTGTAATCCTAGCACTTGGGAGGCAGAGGCAGATGGAATCTGACCAGCCTAGCCTACATAGTGAGTTACAGGCCAGCTAGGCTACAAAGATTTGGAAAGGAAATAACACAAAAATAAATGAGGGGCAGGAATGTGTGGGAAAGTGTGGAAGACAATGGAAGGAATGGTGAGCCAGTGAAATTAAGAGGACAAACTAGATCAAACAACGGCTATTTCCATAGAAGGCATAAATGTCAAGAAAAGGAGAAAAAGCAGGGTAAGACTAGAGTTTAAAATTCTTCAAACCAGGTTAAGAGTTTTAAGACGAATAAGGGAGGCAAAAGAGTGGACTTCACAAAGCCTGCAAAGATGAAAACTGAAACTAAATCTAGGTGATAAAAAGGTAGTCACAGGGGAGGTTAAAAAAAGGGGGAGGCTCTTAAAATCCACTCGAGGCAGCTGGGGAGAGATGAAAGAAGGTTTTTAGGCCAGGTCAAGCTTCTAACAAGTCCTAAAATAGGCAGGAAAGCCATAGAACTGGTGGCATATGTAACTCCCTATCTGTGTCTCAAGCTCCGTGAGCAGGACGCACTTCTACTTTAGGAGACCTGGGAAGAATTTTCTAGAACATTGCTTCTACAGATGGGACCTTGGAAGCTGCAGCCTCCCACCTCTCAGGTTTGTTGGAAATGCAGACCCCTAGGTCCCAAAGCAACATCTGTCTTCCAATAAGATCGGCAGAGGACCTGAGCATACTCACTGAGGCCAGCTAGGTCTTCATAGTGAGTTCTAGGACAACCGGAGCTCCATAGTAAGACCCTGTCTCAAAAAAAGTGCTATTTTAGAAGAACATGGTAGTTCTTTGTATGCCTTAGTTTACTATTTTAGAGTTGTTGACTTTGGCTCAGTTTCTGAGGTTTCAGGCCTTGTTGATGCTGTGGCCTTTGGCAAGTCAGAACTTTATGGTGGTCAGAGCTGCTCATACATGGTGGCTTTGGAACACAAAAGAGAGGAAGGGAACAGCCAGGGTCTCAGTCTCTTTTTAAATTAGAAGTCCTAATGACCTGACTTCCCTCTACCAGGTCCCATTACCTACATGTTATTTAACTCTTTGAGCTTTCTTAAAAATAGATAAATAAAATTAATTTTTCTAATTATTAGTTGATTCTTTTTGTTTATTGGTTGGTTGGTTTTTTTGTTTGTTTGTTTGTTTGTTTTTCGAGACAGGGTTTCTCTGTGGCTTTGGATGCTGTCCTGGAACTAGCTCTTGTAGACCAGGATGGTCTCAAACTCACAGAGATCGGCCTGCCTCTGCCTCCCGAGTGCTGGGATTAAAGGTGTGTGCCACCACTGCCTGGTTATGAGTTGATTCTTTTTTTTTTTTTTAACGAGACAGGGTTTCTCTGTATTGTTTTGGAGGCTATCGGTCCAGCCCAGCCTCGAACTCACAGAGATCCGCCTGCCTCTGCCTCCCGAGTGCTGGGATTAAAGGCGTGCACCACCACCACCTGGCTTAGTGGTTTGTTTTTTTTTTAGATTTTATGTACATGGGTGTTTTAGCTACATGTATGTTGGTACACCACTTGGTGTGCCACCACTGCCCGGCTATGAGTTGATTCTTTATGCGATACATTTTCTTGCTTTATTGTTTTTTTCATTAGTTGTTTTCAACTGTTTAAAAACCCCTCCACCCCATCCCCAGTTCCAAAATCTTTATTGTTTTAGAAAAGATGATCCATCCACTCAGTGGAATGAAGAGTGGGATCCATCAGTAATGCTAAAAGGACCACGGCTTATCCACTTCTACTTATTAGACCCAGTTATAGGCACAAGACTTGTAGTCAATCAGTTCTTTGGGCTTAACCCATAGGCTGATCTCCTTCTCTGCATTTGCTACTGAATCACTGCCTTGAAGTTCCTGCCAACCTGAATGTAGAGATCCCCGCAAATAGTGCCTGGCTTAGAATCAGCTGGACTGATGTCTTCCAGTGTCACTAGCCTGTCTGCATCACACTGAGCCCCTCCAAGACCATGGCCACCATAGACCCTGAGTTCATGTACTTCACCAGCTCTGAGAAGAAAGGATGGTCTTTCAGGTCAATCCACTCTGCTTCAGACATCCTTCAGAAACCTGAAGGAACTTCATGGCCACTGGAACTCATCCATTAGGCAATGCTGCATGCCATCTGGCTTGATGGCAATAAAAGTGTGCTCCATGTTGGCCATGGTCTGAAAGCATTGGTGGTGTCTACAATGAGTGGTGGGAAAGGAAGTGAGAATTAAAAGGGTTCTGTACCCTGATATTAAGCCAAATCAAGCTGAATTAAAAATAAAAGACCAGGTTTATTGGCAAAATGTTCCCAGGTGACCCTTCTGATTCCCAGAGATGAGATGAGGAGAGGAAACCAGAAAAATCACATGGTCACTCCCTAGAAGGCAGTTTATATACCCTGTAGGAGCTGCTGCTTGGTGGACTTCCTGAGATAGGCGGGGTTGGAATGGGGTGGGGGTAGTGGGGCCGAGGCAGAGCTTCAACTGAACAATTTTTTTTTCAAGATAGGGTTTCTCTGTGTAGCCCTGGATGTCCTGGAACTTGTTCTCTAGGCCAGGCTGGCCTCAAACTCAGAAATACACCTGCCTCTGTTTCCTGAGTGTTGGGATTAAAGGGGTGTGCCACCACTGTCCAACAAAAGTGACAAATCTTAAAAATACATAAATTAGAACTGTAGCGATGGCTCAACCACTTAAGAGCACTGGCTTCACTTCCAGAGGACTGGGTCCAGTTGCAGTACCCACTTCAGCTGGTTCACAACCACCAGTTACTCCAGTTCCAGAGGATCTCATTTTCTCTTCTGGCCTCTCTAGAGACCTGCATGCACATTTTCACATAAACTCACCCAGGATCCTGCTGTGTCCCTCCCACAACAAAATAAATATCCTACTAGCTACAAGTTAATTTTCTGTGTGTGGGTGGGGTGTCTCTCTGTGTAACTGCCTGGCTGTCCTGGAATTGACTTTGTAGACCAGGCTAGTCGTGAACTCACGGAGATCTGCCTGCCTCTCCTTTCTGAGTGCTAGGATTAAAGGCACGTGACATCACTGCCTGGTCCTACAAATTGATTTTTTTATCTGACCCACTTTCTTTTCTATGAGTTAATTAGCCCCTTTGTTTTATTTTTCCTTTTGATCATGGGTTCCTTACTGGTCCTGTTTCTGACTAAGACCAAGGAAAGAGGAAGGGGAATTGGCTGGCTCAGAGAGGGTTATTTCCACAACATTCCATTTACACACAAAACAGAAAATCTCAGAGTCACTATTGCAATTAGAAGTTGATAGCAAGGGATGGGGAGGGACTAAGTAGGGGTGTTGTTAAACCCCTTCCCCCCAAAACTGGGTGGCTATGGGGAGTTTGTTCTACTGCAACCTAAGAAGAACCAGAGGGTCAAAAGCAGGTTGGGAAAGCCAGACCATCAGAGATAGAGGGAGCAAGCCAGTTCAGGCTGTGGGAGTGGCATTTGGCAACAGGAGTAAAGGGATTGTCCTCCCTGTGCTAAGATTCCCTCTGTCTGGAGGAAGTGGGCAACTTGCAACACCCAAGAGCAAGACTAGGGTGTTAAATGCTTCCAGCAAGGTCAGGAGGTGGCTCACAAAGGCTTGCCCTTCAGGGAGATGACCATGCTGCCACCTAATTTCTCTGCCTGTATGAAGTGGTCCTTGACATCTTCATATCTTCCTAGAAATTTGCTCATAGAAATTTGCTCATAACTCATTCTTGATCCTTGCTTTTTTTTTTTTTTGATCCTTGCTTCTTGCTGATGGAATCCTTGGAAATTGTATTGAAATTTATTTAAAAACGCCAAGAAAAGTCAAGCCACACAACAAGGTTCACATAGGAGGTTTATTTGAAGAGGAGAGAGAAGGAGCAGAGAAGGGGACAGAGGGGGGGGAAGAGTGGGGGCAGAGACTGGTTCCTGGGGACAAAAGTGGTGGAAAAGGGAGAAAAGAAGAGAGGGAGAAGAGAGAGGGAAAGAAGGAGATGGAGAGAGACAGAGGGCAAGGCCCACCTTTTAAGAGGAATGTAGTGAATGTGCACAGGAGGTGCTCTTAGTGGCTGCAGCCGAGGATGTATCTTGTCAGGACCCCAAGGGCAGGCCAGTTCAGATGCTTTAGTTCTAACAGCTGGCCTAGATAATTTTGTTCTTAAGGGCACACTCTAAGGTCCCAGAAGATGAGCCACTGTTCCTCCTCCTTGCTGTCCTTGGCTGGGTTACATCATGGAGAGAATAGCGGCAGTTCTGATATGATATCAATTCTTTCTTACTTTCTTTTGAGACAGAATCTAACTAGTCCTAGCTAACTTAGAATTTCCTGTGTATGTAGATGTAGATAAGGCTGGCCTTTCACTTATAGAGGTTCAGCTGTCTCACTCTTCCTAGTGCTGGAGTTAAATGCTTATGCCACTATATTTAGCTTAAATTTTATCTTAAAGAAATAATATGTATATTTAAAAATTAGTCTCTGGGGGCTGGAGAAATGGCTCAGTGATTAAGGGTACTGACTATTCTTCCAGAGGACCTGAGTTCAGTTCCCAGCACCCACATTGTAACTCCATGTTACAGACAAAACATGCAAACAAAACACCAATGCACATGAAATAAAATAAATTATTTTTTAAAAAATGAGTCTCTGTTAGTTCAAAGCCAGCCTGGTCCATAGAATGAGTTCCAGGACAGCCACGGGTATACAGAAAAACCCCATGTCAAAGAGAGAGAGAGAGAGGGGGGGGGGGGGGGCTTGGTGGCACATGTCTTTAACCAGGAATCAGAGGCAGGCTAATCATTGAATTCTAAGTCATCTTAGTCTCCGTAGTAAGATCCTGACATTTTGAAACTTTTGGCAATTCCATATATGTATACAATGTATTATAATGATACCTCCCCATTACTCCCTCTTACCTCCCTCTTATTCTACCATCCCCTTTCTTCCCAGCTAATCTCCCTCTTACTTTATTTTTGCAGCTCACTGGTTTTAATTAGGATTGTCTGCATGTCCCTGGGTAGGGGGTTATTTACAAGGCACCTCACAAGTGACTACACCACTGAAGAAAATGGCTCCCCCCTCCCTCAAGCATAAGGAAGGGTAAGGAATGCCATGCAGGATTTGTACAGATCGTCGTACTGTTGTGTGTTCACGATTACAACGGGCATGTCATATCCAGAAGTTTCACAGTACTCCTACTTGCTCTATGCCTCTTGTAATCTCTCCACCTCCCTTTCTATGTTTCTTGTAGAGGGGTACAGATGTTATGTGTAGAGATGAACATCCAGCAGTTGCTTATTCTCTGCACTTTGACCAGTGATGGTTTGAAAGAAAATGGCCCTCATAGGGAGTGGCACTTTTAGGAGGTGTGGATGTGCTGAAGTATGACTTTGTTGGAGGACATCTGTCACTGTGGGGGTGGGCTATGAGGTCTGCTATGCTCAAGCCATGCTCAGTGTAACACACAGTTATTTCTGCTGCCTGTGGATCAAGATGTAGAACTCTCAGCTCCTTCTCCAGCACATGTCTGTCTGCCTGTACGATGCCATGGGGATAATGGACTAAGCCTCTGAAACTGTGAGTCAGCCACAATTAAATGTTTTCCTTTTTAAGAGTTGCTGTGGTCATGGTGTCTCTTCACCGCAATAAAAACCCTAACCAAGACAGAGTCTCTGCATTAACTATCGCCCATGGCTAACAGAAGCTTCTCTAGTGACACCCATCCTTAATCTTAGCACAAAAATGCTAACCCCAGGGCTACAGAGATGGCTTGGTGGTTGCAGAGAACCCAGTTTGATTCCCAACACCTACATGGCAGCTCACAACCATCTGAAACTCTAGTTTCGGGTCATCCAATGCCTCCTTCTTGCCTTAACAGGCATGTATGTAGGAATGCTGCACACTGGCTTGAATCCCTCTGCTTTCTCCACTAACTTTCTTATTCATCTCGCCAGCCCAAGGATGATTCCATCCACCGCAGCCTAGGTCCATATCAGTTGCAATCAGAAAATGTTCCACAGATATGCCCACAGGGCAAACTGAGGGAGGCAATTTCCCAACGGAGACTCCGTCTTTTCAGGCATATCTAGGTTTGTGTCCAGTTAACAAAACTAACATTTGTGCATATGTTCAGGGGTGGGTCAGCAGTGAATAGGGTTCTTCCTTGAATCTCACCCATACCAGATTTTGGGGTTAATTTATTTATTTGGACAAGGGTCTCTTTATGTAACCCTGGATGTCCTGAAACACTATGGAGATCAGGCTAGCCTCTGCCTCTGAGGAGCTGGGATTACACCATGCCCTGTACACATTTGTTTTCTTGGCATCCATTCTGACAGGATGAGATGGAATCTCAAAAGAGTTTTAATTTGAATTTCCCTATTGACTAACAATGTGGAATACTTTTAAAAAGTCTATTCATCCTTGCAATTCTTGTTTTGTGATCTTCTCTGTTCAGATTCAAAAGCTAGGGTCTTTTTGTTTTGTTTTAAACAACAATAAACCCTGGTGGCAGCAGCACATGCCTTTAACCCCCGCACCAGGGAGGAATTGGCAGGCGAATCTCTGTAAATTTGAGACCAGCCTGGTCTACAAGAGCTAGTTCCAGGACAGCCTCCAAAGCCATAGAGAAACCCTGTCTCAAAACACCACCCCCCCAAAAAAAAAACCCCACCAACAACAACAATAAGATCTCACTTCGTAGCCCTGGCCAGCTGGAACTTGCTGTGTAGGCCATGCTGGGCTCAAATTCCCAGAGATCTACCTGCCTCTGCATCCCGAGTCCTGGGATTAAAGACGTGTGCCACCACACCCAGCATAGCACACCTTCCATTTTTTGAAATTCTATGTTTCTGAATATTTTGTTCTTTTATTTCCTTGTATATTCTATATATTAACTCTTTGTCAGACATGCCTGAAGAGCCAAAACTCCAGATCAACCCTTCCCACAGCCTTGGCTCCTAGAGACTATGTTGTATGCAACAGGCCTAGGGCCAAAACCAAACACAAAGGGACTCCAAACCCCCTTAGCCTTCTAGATACTTGGATCCTGGGTACTGTTTGATTACAAAAGAAACTCCCCTGTAGTCTTCAGGAAATTCACTTCTGAAAAATATTGATATAATAGACCACCTGCAAGCCATAAAAACCAGAACGTTCCCTCCTAGCACCAACATATGAGAAAAATGGGTACATAGGTATTACATGCCAAAAACATGACTTTGAAAATTTTCTTGATTTTTCCCCAAATGTCAACCAATCGGAAACCAACCTGTACCTACTGATGTAATCCTGTAACTTTTGTCTTTAGAACCTAACAGTAGCCGGGCGGTGGTGGCGCACACCTTTAATTCCAGCACTGGGGAGGCAGAGGCAGGCAGATCTCTGTGAGTTCGAGGCCGGGCTGGACTGACAGCCTCCAAAATAATACAGAGAAACCCTGTCTCATTAAAAAACAAACAAACAAACAAACAAACAAAACCTAACAGTAGACAGGGAACTTCACCTCCTCTGGAGGCTGCTGCATCAGCTTGCTGGGCAGGGTCCCTCCTGTGGTAGGATAGAACAATCAATAAACCTTGTGTGTTTGCATTGGTGGTCTGTCTCCTTGGGGATTCTTGTGACATGGGCACAACAATGCCACTGGCAAATGTATTCCTGTATTCTTTTAGCCTGACTTTATTTGATTGACAATTGCCTTTGCTGTATAGTGTTGTAGAATATTATTTTAAGATGTGTTACATTCATTTATGCTACGAAATATTTGCTTAATAATGCAAAGATGTGTTGTGTTCCTTTATGTTGCATTTGTTTAACTCTGTGAAGCTGTGTTACTCTGCCTGTCTAAAATACCCGATTCATCTAATAAAGAGCTGAATAGTCAGGCAATAGCTGGGCAGGAGAGAGAGAGGGAGAGGCAGGGCTAGCAGAGAGAATAAATGGAAGGAGAAAAAACAGAAGAGAACAAGGAGAGGAGGATGCCAGGGGCCAGCCACACGGAGTAAGTGAAAGCAACATATACAGAAACAGAGAAAGATAAAAGCTTGGAGGCAAAAGGTAGACAGGATAATTTAAGAAAAGCCGGCTAGCAACAAGCCAAGCTAAGGCCAGGGCATTCATAAGAAAGAAAAAGCCTCTGTGTGTGTGGCCAGCCCCCCCCCCCAAAAAAGAACAAAGAGCTAAGGAGTAAAGAGCAAAAGGAGTAAAATTAATAATAATAATAATAATAATAATAATAATAATAATAATAACCAACAACAATACAGAACATCTTTAGCTTCCTGGGGCCTCACTTGTCAATTACTGACCTTATTTCCTTTTCACAAAGTCCTTGCTTATGCCTATTTCTTGCAGTGTACTCTGGCACTTTCAGAGTTTCAGGTTTTATGTTGAGGTCCTTGATCCACTTGGAGATGATTTTTGTGCAGGGTGAGAGGTAAGTATCTAGCAACAATGGTGCTGGGAAAACTGGGTATCATTGCTGACGAGGGTCTTTTTCACATCCAGATGACTTTCAAGGAGGTATTTCTTTCTCCCATTGTATTTCATTGAGGCTGGTATTAATTGGATTGTTCCCCTAGTTTTTTTCCTTAGTGTGTTTGTCATTGGCATATGGGAACACTACTGACCTTTATGAGTTACTTATGAACACTTTGCTTAGATTGTATATTGACTCTGGGTATCTTTTCTTGAGGTCTCTTATATATAGAATCATATTATTTGTACATAAAGATACTTTGACTTCTTTTCTTATCTGTACCCCTTTTATTTCCTTCTCTTGTCTTATTGCTCTAGCTAAAACTTCCAAGTACTGCATTAAGTAGATGTGGAAAGAGGGGACTTTATTTTATTTTAGTGAGAATGTTTCAAGGTTTTCCTGTTAGTGTTGGCTAGAAAGCCTGTGATATATAGCTCTTTTGTGTTTGTTTTGTTTTGTTTTTTGAGACAGGGCTTCTCTGTATTTCTTTGGAGGTTGTCCTGGAACCAGCTCTGTAGACCAGGCTGGCCTTGAACTCATAGAGATCTGCCTGCCTTCCGAGTGCTGGTATTAAAGGCGTGCGCCACCACTGCCCGGCTATAGCTCTTAATATATTAGTCTTTCCATTTATTGTGAAAGATGCTGGATCTTGTCAAAGTGCTTTTCTACATTTATTATTATTGAGATGATCATGAGATTTCTGTCCTTGAGTACATTTATATGGTGAATTACATTTATTTATTATTTATGTATGTTGAATGACCCCTGCCTCTCTGGTTGAAACCAACTTGACCATGGCGATATGATCTCTCTAATGTGCTCTTTTTTTTTTCTTTTTCTTTTTTTTTCCGAGACAGGGTTTCTCTGTGGCTTTGGAAGCTGTCCTGGAACACACTTTGTAGACCAGGCTGGCCTCGCACTCACAGAGATCCGCCTGCCTCTGCCTCCCGAGTGCTGGGATTAAAGGCGTGCGCCACCAACGCCCGGCTTCTGATTTGCTCTTAAATTCAGTTTGCAAATATTTTACTGAGAATTTTTGTGTTAATGATCATCTTATGTGTTGGTGTATAATTGGTATGTTTATGTGTGTCTGGTTTTGCTCAATATAATGCTGGATTTGTAGAAACAAATTAGGAGTGTTCCTTCCTTTCTGTTTTATGGAATGATTTGGGAAATGTTGGTTTTATTGTTTCTTTGAAGGTTTGGTAGAATTGTGCAGTGACTCCATCTGGCTGTGCTATTTCAGTTGGAACGTTTTTTCTATTTCAATCTTGTCACTTGCTATGGTTCTGGTTAAGTTTCTTGTCTCATCTTAGTTTAACTTTGGTAGATCATATGCATCTAGAAATTCATCCATTTCTTTTTGATTTTTTAATTTCATGTACTCGCACACACACGTACATCCTTATGTTTTTTTCAGTTTCACAGGTATCTGTTGTAATGTCTCCCTTTTTATTTCCAGTCTTTTATATTTGGTCTTATTTCGCTTTCTTTTAGGTAATTTGCTAAGAGTTTCTCAATCTTGTTTACCTTTAAAAACTGATTTTTTTACTTTTTTCCTTCCTTAACCTTAATTATTTCTTATGTTTGTTTTTTTCCCTTAAGGTTCGTCATTATTAAGAGCATTCTCATTTTGTGATGTAGACCAAGATTCATGAGCTTTCCTCTTAGGACTGCCTGCATGTTTCCCACAGGCTTTGGTATGGCATGTTTAAATTTTTATTAAATTCCAAGGACCTTTTGGTTTCTTTTTTGGCTTCTTCAATGACTCATTTATCATTCAATAGTGTGTTGTTTAATCTACATGAGTCTGTTTATTTTCCTAAGTTTCTTTTGCTATTGATTTCTAATCTTATCTTATTTTCTTGCGGTTAGATACAATATAGTAAGCTATTAAAAATTTCCTATATTTGTTGAGATTTGCTTTTTTGTCCTAATATGTGATTTATTTTAAAGTAAGTCCCATGAATTACTAAGAAAAATGTGTGTCGTGTTGTGTTTGGTTAGAATGTTTTATTTATGTCTGTTAAACCCATTTGGTGCAATTTGTAGGAGTCAGTTCTCTCCTTCCACAGTGTGGTTCTGGAAATAAGTTCAGGTGGTCAGGTCAGGCTCAACAGCAAGTACCTTTACCCTATGAACCACGTCACTACCTCTTCTCTGTTTATTGGCCCGTGATCATCATGGTGGGAAGCAGATGGGCATGACACTGGAACAGTAGCTGAGAGCTTTGTATCCTGATCCACAAGCAGCAGGCAGAGAGAGAGAGGTAGGGGAGAATGAGCCTGGTGGGCTTTAAATTTCAAAGTCCACCCCCATGACACACTTCCTCTAACAAGGCCACACCTCCTAATCCTTCCCAAACAGCTCCACCAACTGGGCACCAAACATTCAAACATAGGAGCCTATGGGTAGTGGGAAGGGTCATTCTCTTTCAAGCAATCACAGTGATATATTGAAGTTATTCACTATTTTTCAAAGAGATTTGTAAATGGAGTTCTTTTTTTTTTTTTTGAGACAGGGTTTCTCTGTATTGTTTTGGAGGCTGCTCTGTAGACCAAGCTGGCCTCAAACTCACAGAGATCTGCCTGCCTCTGCCTCCCGAGTGCTGGGAGTAAATGGAGTTCTTAATTGGTCAAAATAATAAAAACACGAAGTCCGATATATAGGAAAATGCTGAGAGATCAGAGAGAAGGAGCAAGCCAAAAGAACCTTCACTTCCTTACCTCCTGGCAGACAAGAGATCGAGTTCCTGTTTCTCCCTGCTTATATCCTCTCTCTGTCCAGCCATCTCACTTCCTCTCTCAACCCAGACATCTCACTTCCTGTCTGTCTGTACAGACCTCCAGACCTCCATGGTTAGCTAGTGGCTAGCTCCATCCTCTGATCTTCAGAGAGGCTTTATTTGTATAAGCAAGATATCACCACAGAGATTTATTGATTTTTTTATGTATGAGAGTGTCACCAGAATGCATATATTCGAACCATGTGCATACAAGCAGAATCAGAAGAAAGCATTTGGTCCCCTGGAACTGGAGTTTTGGATGGTTGTGAGCCCTTATGTGGATGCTGGGAATTGAACCTGGGTCCTCTACAAGAGCAGTAAGTTAACCATTGAGTCACCTCTCCAGCCTTGAAGTTATTCATGATTGCTGTGTTGGGGTTATTCTTTATACATTGTAGTATTTATAGCATGAAATTAGGTGACCCTGTGTTTGATACATATGACAAAATTGTAATGGACTCTTGTTGAATTGTTCTCTTAATCAGCATGAAGTGACCTTCTGTCTTAGGGTTTCTATTGCTGTGAAGAGATACCATGACCATGGCAACTCTTACAAAGGAAAATTTAATTAGGACTGGCTTACAGTTCATTATTGTCATGACAAGAAGCACGCAGGCAGAGATAATGCTGGATAAGGAACTGAGACTTCTACATCCAGATGGGCAGGCAACAGGAAGAGAACTGGCTTGAGCTTCTGAGACTTTGAAGCCCACTCCCTGTGACACACCTACTCCAACAAGACCATATCTCCTAATAGTGCCACTCCCTATGGGCCTATGGAACCATTTTTATTCAAATCACCACACCTCCTTCATGTCTTCTGACTAGTTACACTTTGGAAACTATTCTGTCATATTAGAAAGGCGATGCCTTGTTCCCTGGTCTTGTTTGTTTGGAATATCTTCATCTTTTCATGCTATGGTAGTTTCTATCTTTAATGCTGAGGTGTGTTCTTAGAAGCAGCAAAAAGAGGGATCTTGCTGGGCTTCGTCCCATACACCTCTAATCCTGGTACAGGGAAGGTAGATGCAGACATATCTCTGAGTTTGAGGCTCGTTTAATCTATGTAGCAAGCTCCAGACCAATCAAAGCTACATAGTGAGACCCTTTCTTAAAAAAGCAAAACAAAAAACACAAATATGAATGATTATACTTTATTCAACCTGCTAGTTTTGCTAGTCTGTGTCTTTTAATCGGGTAATTGAAATATGAATGGTCCTAAATTAAGGTTAGCTTTCTGCATACAATTTTCAGATACAATTTTGCTATTTTCTTCTCTTTTGCTTTTTCTTCTCCTCTTTTTCTTTTTCAGTCCTCCTTTCTCCTATTTCCCCTGATCAGGTCTTGCTGCACATGGAAAGATGGCCCTGACTTCACTATGTAGAGCCTACGCTTTAGTCTCATGTGTTTATAAGTCTATGCAACCATGCCTGACTCACCATTTTTGTTTTCTAAACAGTGTGGCTTTGATTTTCTACTTTGTCTTAAATGTTATTTAGATAAGTGGTTTGAAAGTCATCATACATTTAATTCTTTTCCCCCCCTCCTGTTTCCTAGACAGGCATTATGAAGCCAAGGCTGGCCTCCAAATCACCAGATAACCAAAGATGACCTTGAACTTCTGATCTTCCTTCTTCCAACTCTCAAATTCTATGTATTAGAAGCATGCCCTATCACACATGGTTTTATAAGCATGTTTATAAAACCCAGTTTTGTAAGCATGCTAGAGGAAACGCTCAATCAACTGAACTTTGTACCCAGCATCTTTTTAAACTTTTTAATTTATATGTATATAAATATGGGGACACATGTGAAGGGTTTTTGTTCTTTTATTTATTTATTTCTGTCTGAGAGCGTTTCTCTGTGTAACAGCCCTGGCTGTCCTGGAACTGTTCTCTGTAGACCAGGCTGGCCTTGAACTCACAGAGATCTACCCACCTTTGCCTCCTCAGTGCTGGGATTAAAGGCATGCGCTATTACCATAAGCATGAGAAATTTTCTTAATCAGGTTATTTGTAGTGGGAAGACCTACTCTAGATTTGGGCAGCACCTTCTGGTGCATTCAGATAAAAGGAAGTCTGGAAAAAAACACTTTGAGTTTTCCCTGCTTGTCCTAGCTCTCTCTTTGGTAAGTTTGTCTGCCCTGTTGATTCTGCTCCTGCTGTTGTATTCCATTGCTGGTATCAGAATCCAGTTTCTTCAGGCTTTTGATGTGGACTGAAGACCATTGGCTCTCCAGGAATCATTCAGGCTTTTAGCAACATATTGGGACTGCTGAGTCACTTCATCCTTTTTGACCAAGCAGTTACCAGCTTTTTAGCCTCTCCAAAGTGAAGACAGCCATTGTTGGGCCACCCAGTGATAGGGGTGTCCTTCTGTATATATGTTTCTCTTATTGTTTGATGAATATAACACTGATGGGCCAGTAGCCGAGCTAAAAGCATAGGAGGGGCTACCAAACTAAAACTCTGGGGGAGAGAAGCTGTTGGGGAGAGGCCATGTAGCTGATGAAAGAGTACATGCTGGAGCATTCTCTGGTAAGTCAAAACTACATGGAGATACATAGTTTAATAGAAATGGTTTAATAGTTAAGAGAGAGCTAGCCAGTGAGAAGCCTGAGCTATTGGCCAGACAGTTTATAATCATTATAAATCTCTGTGTGTTTACTTGGGGCTAAATGGTTGCAGGACCAGGCAGAGCAAGAACCTCTGTCTACAACTCAGTCTTGTCATGTAGGCCCATCTAATAAATCCTCTCTTGTCAGACCTTGGTGGCTCATACTTTTAATCCCAGTACTCAGGAGGCAGAGGCAGAGGCAGGTGGATCTCTGAGTTCAAGGCCAACCTGGTCTACAGAATAAGTTCCAGGACAGGCAGGGCAATACAGAGAAGCCCTGTCTCAAGGGAAAAAAAACAAAAACAAAAAAACTGTTTAATGTATATTCATTCATTCTATTGACTCTGTTCCTTTAGAGATCTCTAATACATATATCATGGTACCAGAAGTGGTTCTAGAGAAATAAAACTGTAAGGATAAGTTTCTCTCATGGGGCTGATGATTTCTTGAGCTGGCTCTCCAACTTGACAAAACCTACAGTTAACTAAAGACACCAGGGAAAGCATTGGATATCCATGCTGGGAACTACTTAAAGAACTATGTACTTTAAAAGCACTTGATACTTCTGATTCACCTCTTGTAAGAAGCAAGGAGTTTAGTGACTGTGCTTATAAATCTATTGAACATATACAGGAAAGCAAAGACTAGAAGGATGCTGGCTTGTTGATTTCAGCATCTTTGGAACAAGTAATAAAGGAAAAGGATGAGCTGAGTTGATGTAGTTACCCAGCTCCATATGCACATAAACAATATAAAAGTTTCTAAGTGTGCCTAGGCAGAAGACCTTCACTACAGCACCCATGGTGCTCAAGTTGCAGAAAACTATACTCAAGCCCTATATGATTACAACACAAATGTAAGCCCCAGCTATAATCAGTTAGTCCATCAGTTAAAGCACTGGTTGGAAAAGAGTGGGATCTTGTAACCTAGGGTACAGATGTGTGGGAGGACCCCCAGGAGGCTGAGGACACTGAATGCTCAGATTCTGGTGGCTTAATTTTTCCTGAGGAGATGGTCTTCTCATCCTTAGCATTGCAATCCCACCTTCAGTGTTGCCCTCTCTGTCCTTGCATGAGGGAATTAGCTCTGCATTGGTTAGAACTGGCAGTGACTTTCCCTGAAGGAGGTGTCAATCGAGACAATGCTGGTATCCCTCAGTGTCCTTTCATTTTTGCCAATAGATCATAACCAGACTCAAGGCTAAGCAGGTTCTACAGCCAACACAGAAACTCTGGTCTATGAGTAGGGACACAGCAACACACTCCCTATATAAATTATTTCCTTGCTTCCTTTCTTTGCATATTTACTTTGCTTTTTATGAGTGTATCTCTATGTGGGGATTGATGCACATGAATGCAGATGCCAGAGGAGAGTGTTGGATCCTGTTGTGAGAATTCATTCCACCAATAGCATTGGGGAGCTGACCTTACTTAAGGTGTGACTTCTTGTCTGCAGATGTGATCTCTTGAAAGGAGAGAGACAGAGGTCTCTCTCTCTCTCTTTTGGATTGTAAAGACAGGTCAAGTGGCATGAAACCATGTGTGGTTGGCCCCTGCTCCCTTGGTCCCAGCTCTGTGAGTGTGTTTTCCCCCATAGCATTCCTTAATAAATTGATACACACACACACATCTTTGGGGCGCACACATCAGGATCCACTGGAGCTGGACTTGCAGATGAGATGTGAGGTACCTAATAGATTGTTGACCAACTTGAGTTCTCCGCAAGAGCAGTCTGAGCTCTTAACCACTGCACTATCTCTTCAGTCTTTCTTTGTAATTTACTGCATCTTTATTTTGTGGGAGAGACACATGAGCCATGATGTGTGTTTGTGAATCAGAGGATAATTTATAGCAGTCATTTCTCTCCTACCATGAGAGTGCCTGAGATCAAACTCAAGTATCAGGTTTTTTTCTTAGTATGTAGACCAGGCTGACCTCAAACTCATGGATATCCAACTGCCTCTGCCTCCCGAGTGCTAGGATTAAATCCACCATACTGGGCTCTTTTTTTTTTAATTATGTGTTGTGGGTATTTTGTTTGCATGATAAGTCAGAGGACATTAGACTCTCTGGAACTGGAGTTATGAATATTGTTAGCTACCACGTAAGTGCTGGCAATCCAACTCAGGTCCTCTGCAAGAGCAGCAAGTACTGCTAATCCATCTCTCTAGTTCCCTTAATTTTTTTCTGGTGTAGAAGGTAGTTTCAAGACAGGGTTTTTCTGTGTAACCTTGACTTCCCTGGAATTCGCTCTCTAAACCAACTGCCTCAGCCTCCCTAGTGCTGCGATTAAAGACCTATGCCACCACTGCTTGGCTTAGTTTCTTTTCTTCTTACAATAGACAATGTAGTTCTTAGGCCTTTGGGAGTATTTTGCGTGTATAATTTGGAAGAGTTTGGTACTTGGGGCTAGAAACATCAACATGTGGAAACAGAACTTAGCGGCTGTTCTCATGGGAGTTTAGAAAGCATGAGCGTTGAAAGAAGCTTGGACAGTGGAGGCACTCCTTATGAGATTTCAGAGGGTTAGCAGAGACTCTTTTTTTTATTATTATGTATACAACATTCTGCCCCCATGTGTGCCTGCATGCCTGAAGAGAGCATTATAGATGGTTGTGAACAACCATGTGGTTGCTGGGAATCAAACTCAGGACCTCTAAAAGAGCAGCCAGTGCTCTTAACCTCTGAGCCATCCCTCCATCCAGAGCAGGGACTCTTACCAGGAACTGGACTCCAGCCATTTATGTGATATGTTGATCAGGAATCTGGCTTTATTCTGTGCATGTTCTGAGAACTTGAGTGAAGTTCAAAGTCGAATTTAAAGGCAATGGGTCCTTTTGGCAGAGGAAATTTCAGGACAAGAGAACATCTTAGGTGGTGTTGAGAAGGCAGCTTCAATTGTTAGAGATCAGCACTACCTAAGAAGACCCTGTGTGGCACTGGGACAACAGCAAGGGTGTCCTGGAGGCAAACTACATCCAGCCGAAGCTGCCCTTGCAAATACCCAACCCTGTTCAGAGGAAGGACACTGCCACTGAAGTGTTTAAAAGCTCTGATTCCCTTCATCATGTAGGCTCACTAGCACCAGCTGTCACATTCACCACATTGGGAAGAATGAGGGATGGCATGTGTGAGGAAGCAAAGCCATCTCAAGAGTCACTCTAAGGCAGCGGCTTCTCTCTTACCAGGCAGATTCATCTGAATCTACACGGAAGACATCCTGTTAATTCGATCTCTGATAAAAGATAAAACTCCAATGCTATCATCAAAGGAAAAGCCTTGGCATACCTCCATATCTGTCTGTCCTCCACAGTCCCCTTTACTTTCTTTCACCTCTGATCTTTTCCTGCTGTGTTCAAAGCAAACTTAAGCATCATTCTCCAAAATGGATTCAAGTCTATTCTTTTGTCTTGAGACGTCCTAACTCCTAGCACCTCAAAATGTGACTGTTTCTGGGAGCAAGGACTTCAAAGAGCAATCGGGAAGGAAGGGGCCTATTCTTGCTGAGCTCACAACAAGGACATTTGAGAAGAGACACATACAGTGGAGACCACATGAAAACACAGAAAGGGTGGTCATTGATGTGCCACAGAGGGCAGACTCAGAAGAAACCAGCCTTGTGGATCCCTTGGGCGCAGACTTGTAGCCCCCAGGAAGGTGGGGAATCAGTTGCTGTTGTTTTAGACAGCCTAGGTGCTTGTTATGGCAGCCCTGGCAAGCTAGTACACTCATCAGTGATTCAGAAAATAAGTTACATTGCATTACCAAATCTACAAATCCATGGACAACAGACTTAACAGAGTTGGCCTCCACTGCTTAGAGACTCATTCATTATTCTAGTAAATTGGAAGGTTACAGAATTCCCATTGCTACATGGAAACTGGATCAACAGAGTTATTGGTGTAAGATAAATCTAGTGTTAGAAGGAAAGTTGGCCATCAATAAATATTAACCTTAATGATTGTCACATAAGTTAAAATTTCATCTCAGAAAGTCTAGCCAGTTCTGCCTCCCTCCCTTTCCGATGGACCTGCCTTTCGTGGAAACAATTCTTAAGCTCTTTATAGACTTAGGCAAGACTGCACAAATCATCCAGGTCATTAGACCTGGATATCGATGTTAAGGCTAAGGGCTGAACTATAGCAACACATGCAATTACCTGCTGTTTATTGCTGAAGGATCATAAATCTCTGCACTGTTTCCACCGAGATGTCAAAGCTGTGAAGAGAAGTTGGGAAAGCCAACTGGCTTCTAGCCATGGAAAGCAGCTGGTATTCCATCAAGAAAATTAGCTAGTTCTTATAATTGGCAACAAAAGTGGGCAAGTTGACTTAAATGAGCTAGGCTGGACGTGGTGGGGGGAGAGGTTTTGGTGAAGAGCCTCCATTAAGATGAAAGACACTGATCCCATACCTGTTAAGTTTATTGTTTCTGCCATAAAGATGCTACAGACCAGATGATTTCATAGTAATGAACTTTCCTCAGCGTCCTGGAAGCTGGAGTTCCAAGGTTACAGTGTTGGCAGGATTTGTTTCTTTTGAGGTGGCTCTCCACAGTATGCAGATGGCCATCATCTTGCTATGTCCTCACATGGTCTTTCTCCGTGTGCCTGCATCTCAGATGTCTCCATGTGTTCTGATTACTCTCTCTTATAAGGACCCCAGTCAGACTGGAATAAGAAAGTCTCTTAAGAAATTCATTTTAATGTATGAGAATGGAGATTTCGTTCCACCCAGTCCTTCAGTCAGTTAGCCCCAAATAAGCACTTAGAGACTTATTAACTATTAAACTGTTGGCTGATGACTCAGGTGTCTTACTGGCTAGCTCTCTCTTAATAACACATAACTACTAATCTATGTATTTCTACATGGTTTTATCTTACAGGAGAACTTCCGGCATCCTATCTTCCAAGTAGCTACATGGTATCTCTCTGGTGGCCCCCCTCACCCTGTCCCCAGAATTCTCCTCTAGTAGCCCTGCCTATCCTTCCTGCCTGGCTACTGGTCAATCAGTGTTTAATTCATAAGAGAAACATAATTATAGAAGGACATCCCCCATCAAATGTACTTTCCTTGAAGTCCCAATACAGTCATGTTAGGTGTTAGGGCTCCCAACGTGAGTTTTTGAGGAATAAGAACTCAATCCATAAACCTGGCAATAGTGGAACATGCCTTTAATCCTAGCCCTTGGGTAGCTGAGGCAGGCAGATTTCTGTGAGTTTAAGGACAGCCTGCTCCATAGAATGAGTTCTAAGACAGCTAGGGCTACACAAAGAAACCCTGTCTCGGACAGACAGATAGACAGATAGACAGACAGACAAAAAGAATTCAACCCATAGGGCTGTCTAGTGAGTTCCTCCCTCAGCTGCTGGAAGGGTTGACTGCTAGTGACTCTACTGTCTGCATCTGGGATAAACAATAGTAACACTATTGGAAATGGTTCGCCTTCTAGCTACTCTCAAGGACATGATGTTTTTACTCTTTTTTAGCTGTTTTGCTGTTCCCTTCCCTTTGTCACAGTTGGTGAGGCCATCTTATCTGCAGCTGAGAGACCATGGGGTATACCTTGAGACAAACTTGCTTGGGTATGAAGCCAGGCAGAACACAGCCTTGCTTCCAGAGTGACGTTCTCAGTGTGTTAAAATGATATATGCCACAATTTACCAAGATAGTACACATTATATTCTGTCTCTGAAATGGTCCATGAGTCTGTTCCTGCCATGGTCTCAGAGCATCAACAACTGTCTTTGAACAAAAATTCATCACAGTGCTGGGTGGTGGAGGAGCGCACCTTTAATCCCAGCACCTGGGAGGCAGAGGCAGGTGGATCTCGGTGAGTTCAAGATAAGCTTGTTCTACAGGGAGAGTTCCAGAACTGCCAGGGCTACATGGAGAAACCCTGTCTTGAAAAATAAAAAAAAGGAAAAAAAGAATGAATGAAAGGAGGGAAGGAAGAGGGAGGGAGAGAGAGAGAGGGATGGAGGGAGGAAGGAAGGAAGGAAAGAAGGAAGGGGAGTTCAAGATTGGTCTGCCCCTTCAGTGTGGACTCTGGTGGAAAACTTTCCCTCAACTGGATAAGATCAGGTTCTTTTTGTCTCTAAAACATATTTAGTTCAATTAATCAGATTCTTAATAAGAGAAAGTGTTGAGAACATTTCTTTTATGTGCAGCTAAGCAAGGCTTGTTCCAACCCACCTTCCCCATCCACGTCAATAAACCTTATCATCTTCAGCCTTAGTCATGCTGACTAATGGGCTCAAGGACTTTGTGTTAGCTGCTTTTGCCACAGAAATTGTTTAGAACGAGCGTAATCATTTATCATTTCTCATAGTTCCTATGGTTTGGTGACCTGGGAGTGATTTGCATGAAAGTTTATGGTTCAGGGTTTCCTTTGATGTCATAGTCAGATGTTATCCAGGGCTCAAATTACCTATCTTTCTGGGGGTCCTGCCAAGGACCCATCCCCTAACTGCCAGGTCTGTTCTTTCCCATCTGGGCTTCTCATCTCCAGAAACTGCTTGAGTGACTGGATAGCACAGAAGCTGGTTTTACCCAGCATGGGCACTCCAAGAGAGCCAGAGAGGAGTATTAGTGTCTTAATGGCCCAGCTTTGAAAGTTAAAGCATTGCCTCTGCCCTATTCTATTGAAATACAGATCAGCCTTACTTCAAAGGGAGGCTGACTATACAGATTGTGAATACCATGGCATGGCAACAACGGGCCACTGCTTCTCTTCTCTCCTATTTTCTCCTTGTTCTTCCATTTGTTTGTTTTTGTTTTTGTTTGTTCTTTTGAGACGGGAATCTCTCTATACTTCCTAAACTGGACTTGAACTCCTAGCAACCCTCTCTGTCTCTGCCCCTTGACTATCTGGAACAACAGATCTGTGCTTGTATTTAATATCTATCTTCCTATATAACCACAGGAGATAAAAAGAGCCAGGCATGAGGGCGCCATGCCTGTAAACACAACACTTTAGAGTCTGAGGCAAAAGGATTGTTTTAATTCAGGAGTTTGAAACCAGCTAGAGCAACACCCCTGTTTCTATAAATTTAAAGGAAAAAAAGAAAAGAAACGTAACAGCATGAATATTATGGCTTGAATATGAATTGTTCCCACCAGCACTCTTGTTGAGGTTAATTCCTCAGTGAGACAGTACTGGAAGGTGAGACCTAAGCCATGAATGGGTTAAGGCTATGCCCTGCTGAGTTCTCAGCCCCAAGGACTAGATAAGTTACCTGAGCTTTGGCTGTTTATAAAGCATGGCTGCTCCTTGGGTTTTGCCTCTTTGCATGTGTCTTCCTTTCTGTCTTCCACCACAAAATTGCCACTAGAAGCCAACCAGGTGTGGATGCAGATCTTGAACTTTCCAGCTTCCAGAACCACGAGCCAGGAGATATCTCTTTATCAATTGCCCAGTCTCAGGTATTCTTTTATAGGAACAGAAAGTGATCTAAAAGAATACTCAGACAAGCTGGGAGGTTGTGGTGCACACCTTTAATCCCAGCACCTTTAATTCCAGCGAGGCAGGCAGATCTCTGTGAGTTAGAGACCAGCCTGGTCTACAGAGTTCCAGGATAGGCTCCAAAGCCACAGAGAAACCCTGTCTTAAAAAACAAAGAAAAAAGAATACTCAGACATTAGTAGATCTTCTGTTATGCCATGAGTGTGTGTGTGTGTGTGTGTGTGTGTGTGTGTGTGTGCTCGCGCGCGCGCGCGCATGCGAGCGAGTACTATGGACACACTCCAAGGGCATTGTGCATGCCGGGCACATGTACTGGCACTGAGCTTTGTCCTTAGGCCTGTGATACTTTTCCTTTGAGCCAGGGTTTCACTATCCCTCAAACTCTTGCCTCAGCTTCCTCAGTTTTAGGATTATTTGCATATGCTTAGTGATGCCTTTGAAAGATTGCTTCTAAAACCCTAAATTTTGGAATCATTAATTCATCCCTAAAAGGAGGAGAAGACATTTCAGATCCATCAGCAGCAGTGATGTATCATGGGTTCCCTGACTTACTTGGCTGTGCACATGTCAGCAACACAGTTCACTCAGAACTTTGCTCACAACTTTTATTGGATTTACGTTGTGGTAATCCAGGAAAGCCTGGCCTGGCCCCATGGGGATCTGGCAAAGTGTGCCACTCTGCCATGGCAAGCAGTGCCCTGGCTCTCCACAGGTGCGAAGGTCCCTTTAAGAGTCCACTTTCGCTCTCTTTCCACCATTTCTCTGTGGAGGCAGACAGATCTCTGTCTTTTCTCTCTCTGTCTCTCTTTTTTCCTCCACTCCTTTCCCTTCCCCAATAAAACTTCCTTCCCAGGTAAGCTCTGCCTGGTGTTTGTCCCCCACCATGGGATCTGCAGGGGTCCCACCTCACATTGTATTATTACACACGTAATGAATTCCTTTGTTTCTAAGTCAATAGCCACTGTATCCCTCCCCCTAGGAAACTAATCTGCCTGCTCTGTCTTCTGTGTGATACTGACCCTTCCTGACACTTTCCTCCATTTTACCCCAGGGCAAGACAAGGATGGTCTTCGGGAATTAGAAAAAGAAACAAAGCGAGCCAGGCAATGAAAGCACTTTCTGAATGAAAACAAAAGAATTAGAAAGGAAGGGACAGGAGTGTCCCTAGGTGTGGTGGAGGAGAAAGTTTATTGCAGATAAAACAGAGAGCACAGCCGGAGGCAAGGACACTGGGGGAGTCCTGAGCAGAGGGGACCGGGCTGAGCTGGGCCACGTGGGGAAAGTGGAAGAAGGAAGGGGGAGAAAGGGAAGAGGGCAACCAGGTGCAGCAGCTAAGAGGGCAAAGGTGAAAAGGGGGCGGGAACCAAAATGTGGGGATTATATAGTGAAGAGCCTCTGGGGAGGACAGCCCGATCTCTGTGCTACGACGTTCAGGGTAGGGACTGAGGGATGCTGGGAAAGCCTAGCGGCCGGGTCGGCTTTGATGTGTTAAATAGGCACCTCGGCCATTTGTCCCTTTCTTTACCCTCAGAGCCTTTTCTGCCAGCCCTGGTTTTAACCTCTGAGTACCTGAAGACCCATTAAGATGACTCATTACCATAATCATTTTTAGAGGGAAACTGGACACAAGGTACGTCATCAAAGGGAAAACAGACTTGGAGCACTCATGAAACTACGTGCGTGTTGTTAGTTCCTGCCCTAGGGCCAGCCTGCCTCAGCCGCCAAGGTGGCTACCTCATCCCCTGCCTCCAGGGGCCTTTCCATCATCTGCTGTGAGACACTCACCCCTTCACTCACAGTCCTCTCTTTTGCTCTTGTCTCTGAGCTGTTCTGCCTGTCTGTCCGTCTGTCTGTCTGTCCGTTTGTCTGTCTGTCCGTCTGTCCGTCTGTCTGTTCCGCCTGTCTGTCTGCCTGCCTGTCTGTTCCGCCTGTCTGTCTGCCTGCCTGTCTGTTCCGCCTATCTGTCCGCCTGTCTGTCCGTCCGCCTGTCTGTCCGTCTGCCTGTCTGTCCGTCTGCCTGTCCGTCTGCCTGTCTGTCCGTCTGTCTGTCCGTCTGCCTGTCTGTCCGTCTGTCTGTCCGTCTGCCTGCCTGTCTGTCTGTCCATCTGCCTGCCTGCCTGTCTGTCCGTCTGTCCGTCCGTCCGCCCGCCCGCCTCTCTCAGTCCCCACTCCAAGACAGCCTTTGTGTCTTTTACTCTCCCGTCCCACCTCTGGCACTAGCTCTGTTGTGCGTGGAGTGTTCTAGCAGCCGGCCTCGGGAGGACCAGCCGAAGGTAGCCGCTTCACCACGCTTTACCCTTCACTTTTCAAAGGCCTGGGGACGTGTGCCTGCGTTTCTGCCCTGTGTATACACAGAAGGGACGTTTCTGCCCTGTGTATACACAGAAGGGACGTTTCTGCCCTGTGTATACACAGAAGGGACGTTTCTGCCGTGTGTGTACACAGAAGGGACGTTTCTGCCCTGTGTGTACACAGAAGGGACGTTTCTGCCCTGTATGTACACAGAAGGGACGTTTCTGCCGTGTGTATACACAGAAGGGACGTTTCTGCCCTGTGTATACACAGAAGGGACGTTTCTGCCCTGTGTATACACAGAAGGGACGTTTCTGCCCTGTGTATACACAGAAGGGACGTTTCTGCCGTGTGTATACACAGAAGGGACGTTTCTGCCCTGTGTGTACACAGAAGGGACGTTTCTGCCCTGTGTATACACAGAAGGGACGTTTCTGCCCTGTGTGTACACAGAAGGGACGTTTCTGCCCTGTGTATACACAGAAGGGACGTTTCTGCCGTGTGTATATACACAGAAGGGACGTTTCTGCCCTGTGTATACACAGAAGGGACGTTTCTGCCCTGTGTATACACAGAAGGGACGTTTCTGCCCTGTGTGTACACAGAAGGGACGTTTCTGCCCTGTGTGTACACAGAAGGGACGTTTCTGCCCTGTGTGTACACAGAAGGGACGTTTCTGCCCTGTGTGTACACAGAAGGGACGTTTCTGCCCTGTGTATACACAGAAGGGACGTTTCTGCCCTGTGTATACACAGAAGGGACGTTTCTGCCCTGTGTGTACACAGAAGGGACGTTTCTGCCCTGTGTGTACACAGAAGGGACGTTTCTGCCCTGTGTATACACAGAAGGGGCGTTTCTGCCCTGTCTGTACACAGAAGGGACGTTTCTGCCCTGTGTATACACAGAAGGGACGTTTCTGCCCTGTGTATACACAGAAGGGACGTTTCTGCCCTGTGTATACATAGAAGGGACGTTTCTGCCGTGTGTATACACAGAAGGGACGTTTCTGCCGTGTGTATATACACAGAAGGGACGTTTCTGCCCTGTGTATACACAGAAGGGACGTTTCTGCCCTGTGTATACACAGAAGGGACGTTTCTGCCCTGTGTATACACAGAAGGGACGTTTCTGCCCTGTGTGTACACAGAAGGGACGTTTCTGCCCTGTGTGTACACAGAAGGGACGTTTCTGCCCTGTGTATACACAGAAGGGACGTTTCTGCCCTGTGTATACACAGAAGGGACGTTTCTGCCCTGTGTGTACACAGAAGGGACGTTTCTGCCCTGTGTGTACACAGAAGGGACGTTTCTGCCCTGTGTATACACAGAAGGGACGTTTCTGCCCTGTCTGTACACAGAAGGGACGTTTCTGCCCTGTGTATACACAGAAGGGACGTTTCTGCCGTGTGTATACACAGAAGGGACGTTTCTGCCCTGTGTATACACAGAAGGGACGTTTCTGCCCTGTGTATACACAGAAGGGACGTTTCTGCCCTGTGTGTACACAGAAGGGACGTTTCTGCCCTGTGTATACACAGAAGGGACGTTTCTGCCGTGTGTATACACAGAAGGGACGTTTCTGCCGTGTGTATACACAGAAGGGACGTTTCTGCCGTGTGTATACACAGAAGGGACGTTTCTGCCCTGTGTATACACAGAAGGGACGTTTCTGCCCTGTGTATACACAGAAGGGACGTTTCTGCCCTGTGTATACACAGAAGGGATGTTTCTGCCCTGTGTATACATAGAAGGGACGTGTCTGCCGTGTGTATACACAGAAGGGACGTTTCTGCCGTGTGTATATACACAGAAGGGACGTTATCTGGCTACAGAGTCTTAGATATTAATGACAATACCAGACAATCCTCCAAAGTTATTATACCAGGTTATTCCTACCAACAGCGTAAAATGCCCCATGCCCTAGAGTGTGGTGATATTTGTTTATGATATAACAAACAAAGCTAGCCCAAAGATCAGAGTGCAAAGCTAGCCACACTAGTTAGCCACAGAGGCCAGGCTGTGGTGGTACACACCTTTAATCCCAGCACTCAGGAGACAGAGGCAGAAGGATCCCTGTTAGTTCCAGACCACCCTGGGCTACACGAGATTAAATTTGTCTAAGAAGAGAAACGGCTCACTACACAAAGGTGATCGCAGCCCTTGGGATCCCATGCCTTTATCCCCAGCACCCGGGAGGTGGAGATAGGAGTGATATGGCTGGGTAGAGAGAGGAATATGAGGCAGAAGGAGACAAGAAAGAGGTGCAGTCTGAGGAGCAGTGCAGTCTGAGGAGAGGTGCAGTCTGGGGAGAGTGCAGTCTGAGGAGAGGTGCACTCTGGGGAGAGGTGCACTCTGGGGAGAGGTGCACTCTGAGGAGAGGTGCAGTCTGAGGAGAGGTGCACTCTGAGGAGAGGTGCAGTCTGAGGAGAGGTGCAGTCTGAGGAGAGGTGCAGTATGAGGAGAGGTGCACTCTGAGGAGAGTGCAGTCTGAGGAGAGGTGCACTCTGAGGAGAGGTGCACTCTGAGGAGAGGTGCAGTCTGAGGAGAGGTGCACTCTGAGGAGAGGTGTACTCTGAGGAGAGGTGCAGTCTGAGGAGAGGTGCACTCTGAGGAGAGGTGCACTCTGAGGAGAGGTGCAGTATGAGGAGAGGTGCACTCTGAGGAGAGGTGCAGTCTGAGGAGAGGTGCACTCTGAGGAAAGGTGCACTCTGAGGAGAGGTGCACTCTGAGGAGCAGTGCACTCTGAGGAGAGGTGCAGTCTGAGGAGAGGTGCACTCTGAGGAGAGGTGCACTCTGAGGAGAGGTGCAGTCTGAGGAGAGGAGCACTCTGAGGAGAGGTGCACTCTGAGGAGCAGTGCACTCTGAGGAGAGGTGCAGTCTGAGGAGAGGTGCACTCTGGGGAGAGGTGCAGTCTGAGGAGAGGTGCAGTCTGAGGAGAGGTGCAGTCTGAGGAGAGGTGCAGTCTGAGGAGAGGTGCAGTCTGAGGAGAGGTGCAGTCTGGGGAGAGGTGCAGTCTGAGGAGAGGTGCACTCTGGGGAGAGGTGCACTCTGGGGAGAGGTGCACTCTGAGGAGAGGTGCAGTCTGGGGAGAGGTGCAGTCTGGGGAGAGGTGCACTCTGAGGAGAGGTGCAGTCTGAGGAGAGGTGCAGTCTGAGGAGAGGTGCAGTCTGAGGAGCAGTGCAGTCTGGGGAGAGGTGCAGTCTGAGGAGAGGTGCACTCTGGGGAGAGGTGCACTCTGGGGAGAGGTGCACTCTGAGGAGAGGTGCAGTCTGAGGAGAGGTGCACTCTGAGGAGAGGTGCAGTCTGAGGAGCAGTGCACTCTGAGGAGAGGTGCAGTCTGAGGAGAGTGCAGTCTGAGGAGAGGTGCAGTCTGAGGAGAGGTGCAGTCTGAGGAGAGTGCAGTCTGAGGAGAGGTGTACTCTGAGGAGAGGTGCAGTCTGAGGAGAGGTGCAGTCTGAGGAGAGGTGCACTCTGAGGAGAGGTGTACTCTGAGGAGAGGTGCAGTCTGAGGAGAGTGCAGTCTGAGGAGAGGTGCAGTCTGAGGAGAGGTGCAGTCTGAGGAGAGGTGCAGTCTGAGGAGAGGTGCACTCTGAGGAGAGGTGTACTCTGAGGAGAGGTGCAGTCTGAGGAGAGGTGCAGTCTGAGGAGAGGTGCAGTCTGAGGGGTCTGAGAATGTAGTCTGAGAACAGGATCGCCCTTGTGGTCTGAGCATTGGTAGAGGTAAGAACTTTCTAGTAGCTCATGCTTTGCTTCTCTGATCTTCAGCATTAACCCCAATATCTGACTCTGGGTTTTTATTATAACAGCAATTAGAATTGGTGCTACACTATGGCTGCATCAGCACTGGGCCTTGTCAGGACATGTGAGTACTTGTTCTTTTCACAGATGAGAGTGGTGAAGCATTCATTCTCCAGTCTCCTCCCTCTCTTGTTTCCTCTTTGGTAACTGGGGTTGGATTCAGGCCTTTTCCTGTGCTGAGCACAGTCTCTACTGCAGACCTCCAGCCCCAAACACTCCAGTGCAGTCTTGTGTTTTGAGACTGATCTCTCTGTATCTTGTGTCTTAACTGTACCAGGCTGGTCAGATCTTGCTATTTAGCTCAAACTGACCTCTAACTCATAATCCTCCTGCCTCAGTCTTTCGAGCGCTTAGATTACAATATAATTTGTTTCCCCCTTAAGTTGTTTCTCTTAGGCATTTTGATGAAAGGGATGTGGAAGTAACTGATATGGAAAACTGGCGCCGGGAGTGGGCTGTGAGGAAGTCTGATTGGGTGTCTTTTAAGCCTTTGGAATGTTTTTCAGGAGAGATGTGGAAGCATTTGTAGATGTGAGCAAGAAAAGCCCCAGAATACTATAACCGCAGAGCAATGCACGTAAAATAAACTTAAATAAATTAAATAAAGAACGGGGACTAGAGAGATGACTGAGAAGTTAAGAACCCTGGCTGCTCTTCCAGAGGTCCTGAGTTCAATTCCCAGCAACCACATGATAGCTCACAACCAATCATAATGAGATCTGGTGCCCTCTTCTGGTCTGCAGGCAGAACACTGTATACATAATAAATAAACCTAAAAAAAAAGAGAGAAAGGACTAATTGCATTGGCAGAGTAATTTCAAGGCAGCATAGCATCCACAATGTTTTTTGTTTGTTTGGTTGTTTTTTTGTTTGTTTGTTTGTTTGTGACTGGTCTTAGCTGGAATCACAGTGAGGTTTGGGGCAGAAAGTGGAACCAGAATGATTTGAAGAATGAGCCATTTGGCCATGAAAGGCGAGTTTAAAGTGGGAGACAGCAAACCAGGGCAGTGACTGACTATCGTGCTAAAGAAAGGAGTGTTGCTAAAAGCTGTGAACTTTGTACTGGGACAATAGAAAGTGGTTTTGACAGTAAGCCCACACCCGATGGTGGCTGCAGGGTGTGTAAAACTGAGCACTCGTTTGGAAGACATACCTTTAGGTAGTCTCTGGGGATATCGGAGGGAAGGACCACCTGGGAAGTATTTTTCTCAGTTCAGCTGTCTACCTCGGAAGCCTCTGTGGTTGTAGTTAAAGAAGGCCCGACTAGTACCTGAGCTATCAGCAGAACTTGGTGTTCACCACTTACTTGTTGTTGGTTTTGAGAGCTTACAGGTTACAGAAATTACAGGATTACAAAGAACTCAACCTGAACTTTTAAGGACCAGCTAGAAGCATCCGGGATGTGCACATTAAAACTGCTTTGAAGCTAGGCATGATGGTACACACCTTTCATCCTAAGAAGGAGAGGCTGGTAGACCTCTGTGAGTTTTAGGTCAGCCTGGTCTACATAGTAAGTTCCAAGCCAGGACATTGTCTCAAACAAAAAACAAAATAGAAAACCCCAATGATCTTACTTTGAGATTTCATCCTACCCCATTCAGAAGGCCAAGATAAGACAGGAGACGTCTCATCTGGTGAGGATGTGGAGAGAGGCTGGGGTAGCTGAGCCTGTGGACTCACCCACCGTGCCACCCACCGAATGTCGTGCCAGACATGGGGCTGTAGGATTTAATGCTTGCTCGGCCAGGTTTTGATCTGACTTTAGTCCAGTCCCTCATTACTCTCCAGTCCTGTTTTGGAACTGGGAGGTTCACTCTCTACTGTATATTGGAACTATGTAGTTTTCTTTGTGAACTTAATGAGGTTCACAGGACATCTTGCTTGGTAGTTGGTTGGTTTGGGGGGGTTGTTGTTGTTTGTTTGCTTTGTTTGTTTGTTTGTTTTTGGGTCTCAAAAGAAACTTTGAACTTTAGACCTTTTTTGTTTTGTTTTTTCAAAACAGGGTTTCTCTGTGTAGCCCTGACTGTCCTAGAGCTCACTCTGTAGAACAGGATAGCCTTAAACTCAGAGATCTGACTGCCTCTCTATCCATCTTCCGAGTGCTGGGATTAGAGGCATGTGCCACCACCAATGGAAGACTTTTAATATGTATTTTATATAGGCATATGTGTGGCAGTGGTTGCAAACGCTCATGCCACAGTGTACATGCCATGATGCCTATATACAGGGCAGGACAATCTGTGGGAGTCTGTTCTCTCTTCTGCCGTGTGGGTCCCTGGGATCAAATTTGGGTCCTCAGGCTTGGTAGAATGTCCTTTACCCACTGAACCGTCTCATTATTTCTCGACTGAGAACTTTTGAATGTCAGGACTGGTAAAACCAGAAAAGTTTTAAGTCAGATTAAACACATTTGCATTACGAGATAACCATGTCCTTTGGGGGCTGGGGCACAATATTGTGCTTTGAATTTGAAACGCCCCATACAGATTCATTTTTGAATCCTTACTTGTGGCCCTACCTTGGGAGACTGTAGATCATTTAGGAGATGGGTCTAGCTGCCAGAAGTAGGTCACTAGGATAGACCCCTGTGACCATTGTACTCACCTCTTGATTTGGTCTTTCTCCACACGCTGCTGCTCAGACTACCACACAAGCAGTCCCTGACACAGACTACCATCCAAGCAGACCCTGACACTTGTTCTGCTACTGTGAACACTGCCATGCCTTTCCTGCCATGACGGTCTGAAACACCGAGTCAAAACAGCCTTTCTTCCTTCAGGTTATTTCCCCCAGCTATTTTGGACATAGGAACTTGAAGTAACTAATACATCCACGTATTCTAGATGATGCTTAATCATGTTCATCCACCATGGTGTTAGGCCCAAAGCAGGCCCCCAACATGGTGATACTGATGACAATGTCCTAAACAAACAGAATCTGACCAAGTAACCTGAAGTACCTTGACGTACCGCATTCTAGAATCAGGGTGAACATACTGAGAGGATGAGATGAGACACTAACAACTGAGTGAAATAAAATTTGATCAAGAAAAACAAAATCTTTTTGCAAAGAGGCAGCACAGCACAGGGTCTATTCTGGAATATGTACCAATGCTCTACAAGATTCTATTCCATATTTGCTTGAGAAACACTGTGTGCTTTTCCTCTTCTTAGTAACTGAGTTTACACACAAGAAACTATAGCTACCCAAGTATTCACTAAAGAAAATAATTTCTCTTTGTTTAAGCCACCAGATCTCAAACAAAATTCTGTCTGCTTATTACCTATAAATACCTAAAGGGCTGGTGTTCTGTGGAACGCAGCGTGGGAAACACTGCCTGGGCCTTTACTTATGGTGAGAGTATGAGAAGGACAACACCAGCTTTGCAGTACATCAGGAACAGAGCAGTGCCCGGAGCCTGCAGGATGGTGCACCTCCCCCTGCCACGTTGACTGCACAGACACTGGCTGAGGCGTGTGGAGAGACTGTGGATCTCCTGAGATACACGGTGAGTGTATGCTGAAGTGGTCCTGGTGTGAACGCTGACACGGAAGGGAGGCAAGACGCATGGGTGATGAAGAAGGCCCCAGATGGGAACTGTACCAGCTACCTCTTCAGAGGTCACTGGCAAACGGCTGAGAAACCTTTAATGCAGACTTGAGGTGGGCAGATTCAAGTTACAGAGAAGGTAGAACATTTTCTGAGTACACACACAGCCTGGGATTTGGTCCCAGAACCACAATAATGATGACAGTAGTTTTTAATAATTTATTATTTTATGGACTGTGGAGGCCCACAGAAACTCTATCTTTACATAAGGTCAGAGAGTTCAAGCCTACTATTGCTCCTTCAAGGTTAAGCCACAGGGTGTTTGGCCTAAGGTGTAGCTAATGCATGTCTTACTGAAACAACAGGCTTTTTGGTTTAGAGTGTGGCTACTTGATGCTTTGGGTAGTAAAGAGGTAATTACATCTGTATGTTCCGAGGAAGTCTTTTGCCTTCCCATGTTGATTGTAATATATAAGAACTGTGAAGAATAGACTTGGGGTGAATCACAGTATTCACTGGATGCACTCCCGACTCTCTTTTGTCTTTAGTCTTTCTTTCCTCAATCCTCACTCCGCTGCTCAGGTACAAACCGGACTAGTTGGCTGACTGGACCATGGGCACTGCTGTTCTGCGTTGGCTGACTGGACCATGGACACTGCTGTTCTGCCTGCATGTGTGTCTGTGTGAGGATGCCAGATTCCCTGGAACCGGAGTGACAATCAGTTGTCAGCTGCCATGTGGGAATTGAACCCGGGTCCTCGGGAAGAGCAACCAGTGCTCTTATCTGCTGAGCCATCTCTCCAGTCTTGATGATGACAATATTTTTAAATAAGTGGAATAAAGTTTAATAGAAATGAAACGTCACGCATGGGGTCAGAATACGGAGGCAGGGAGACTGAGAGTTCAAGATGAACCTGGGCTGAACGGCAAGTGCTGTCTCAAAAACAACAACTGGGCTTGGTGGCTGCTTAGTCAATGTTCTATGGCTGTGAAGACACCATGACCAAGAAAGTATTTAATCGAGGGCTTGATTACAGTTTCTGGGGTTCAATCCATTGTCGCCATGGTCAGGAGCATGGCGGCGTGCAGGCAGGTGCTGCAGTAGTAGTTGAGAGACAGACAGACAGACTCTAAGCTTGGCATGGGCTTTTGGAACCTCAAAGCCCATATCCAGTGACACACTTCCTCCAGCAAGCCACACCTAATCCTTTTAACTCTTTCAAATAGTGCCACTCCCTGGTGACTAAGCATACAAATACATGAGCCTGTGGGGCCCATTCTTGTTCAAGCCACACTGGTTTATACCTGTAACCCCAGTATTCAGGAGGCTGAGGCAACAGATCACCAGGAATCTGAAGACAGGCTGGGCTACAGTGTGAGGCCCTATCTTAAAACAACAAAACTAGCCGGGCGTTGGTGGCGCACGCCTTTAATCCCAGCACTCGGGAGGCAGAGGCAGGCGGATCTCTGTGAGTTCGAGACCAGCCTGGTCTACAGAGCGAGTTCCAGGACAGCTTCCAAAACAATACAGAGAAACCCTGTCTCGAAAAACCAGAAAAAAGGAAAGAAAGAAAGGAAGAAAGAAAGGAAGGGAGGGAAGGAAAGAAAAAGGAAGGAAGGAAGGAAGGAAGGAAGGAAGGAAGGAAGGAAGGAAGGAAGGAAGGAAGGGTATCAGGGGCTGGCTGAGAGGTAAGTGGCTGTCAGGAATGGAGTGCGCGTGCTCCTGGGCGGTGGGGGCACATGGAGGGTGCCGTGGATTTTCATGGTCTACCTCTAGCTGATTTTTATTCTTTCCAATAAGGATATTCCCTTGTAGAACTGGACTGTGTCCCTTGCTTTTTTATGGGTAGCAAAGTTGCTCCATGGTCTTGTGAGACTAGCCAGCAGGGGACAAACAACAGAGCACAGACTGGCCTGGGCCTGGGCTTGCATGCCAGAGGCTCTTACCACGCCTTACTCCTCCCCTCTGCCAGCTTCTCAAGCCTCCTGAAATCAAGTGAGGAATAATTAGGTTAACACCAGGGCCTTTCAGACCTTATCAGAGGTTTCTGTGGGCACCATTAACACAGAAGTTCACAGTGGTCAAAGTGCAGAGAGTCAGTGTCCCTGGAGTGCTCAGCCACAAATGGTGCCTTGTATGGCCCTCTCACTGAAGGCCCAGCGACCATCAGGGAACAGGGGCCAGAAAGACTGTTTCGGCCAGAAGTCAGCGAGGACCGGAGCAGGGTGTCAGCGTGTGGCGGAAGTGCTGTGCTCATGAACTCACGGCAGCTGTCCTTGCACAACATCAAGCCAGGTACCATTCTAGCATGGAGATGGAAGCCGTGAGCCACTTTCAGGAGCCACGTTCCCAAACAAGGAGCTAGGGAGAACTGATGGCTTCTAGTTTTCTTTGAGGGTGTGACCTTATTAGGTTGACCACACTCCAGTGCATGTCCCCATGCCCAGGGCTATATGGGCAGCTCAGACTGGACTCAACGGTCATTTATTTGTTTGTTTATAGGTTTTTCGAGACAAGGTTTCTCTGTGTAACAGCCCTGGCTGTCCTGGAACTCACTCTGTAAGCCAGGGTGGCCTCAAACTCAGAGAGATCATCCACGTGGGACACAGGCTTGGTCCTGCTGGGTCCCTTTGAGTGAGTGGTGCTGATGAAGGCAATTCAGATGTAATTCCCAGTGGTCTGATGGAAGGAAACGGATGCCTGGCGCTTGGTGGAGGGGGGGTGTCCGTGGGTTGTGTGCTGGAGAAAATCCTGAGGCTTTTGAAGTGGGCCGTGTCAGGTGTAGCAGTAGCGTCAGGTCATTATGTTTCTTGTTCCGCAGGCACCATCAAGATTTCCTCATGGGCCGGGCGGTGGTGGCGCACGCCTTTAATCCCAGCACTCGGGAGGCAGAGGCAGGCTGATCTCTGTGAGTTCGAGGCCGGGCTGGACCGACAGCCTCCAAAACAATACAGAGAAACCCTGTCTCATAAAACAAAACAAAACAAAACAAAAAAAAAGATTTCCTCATGGTTGTAAAGCCAAGAAGCCACATCTGGATTCCAGGCAGGTAGAAAGGTAAAAATACAAGTAACAGTAACAGCCTGCTCTGTCTGTCTGTCTGTCTGTCTGTCTGTCTGTCTTCTTCCCTCCCTCTCCCTTCTGTGTTGTATGTGCACGTGTGTGTGTATGTGTGTATGTGTGTGTGTGCGTGTGCGTGCGTGCGCGCGTGTGTGTGTGTGTGTGTGTGTGCGTGCGTGTGTACAGGGGCCAGAGGAGGATATCAGATCACCTGACCTAGCATTCTCAGACTGTTCTAGCTTGCTTTTCTGTTGCTGTGACCAAAAGCAATTTAGGGGAAGGTTTGTTTCATCGTATATGTCGAGGTCACAGTCCATCATGGAGGGGTGTCAGGACAGGAACCTGCAGCAGAAACAGTGGAGGGAACACTGTTTACTGCCTCATCCTCTAGCTTCCACCCAGGGAGGTTTCTTCTACAGTCCAGTACCCACCACCTAGAGATGGTACTGCCCACTGTAGCTAGCCTCCTACATCAATTAGCAATCAAGAAAATACCCGCCCCCTCCCCAGACATGCCCAAAGTCCAGTCTGATCAAGACAATCTTCAATTACGATTCCCTCAGAGGGGCTGGAGAGATGGCTCAGTGGTTAAGCACACTTGTTACCCTTGCAGAGGACCTGGGTTTGAGTCCCAGTATCTACATGGTGGTTCATAAGCATCCTTAATTCTACTTCTAGGGTACCTGATGTCCTCTTCTGACCTCCTTAGATACTAAGCATGCAAGTGATACACATATGTACATGCAGCCAAATTATTCACACAAAAGAAAGTGAGTAAATCTAAGTAGGAGACTGCCTTATTGCTTTAAGGCAGGGTCTCTCACTCAACTGGAACTTGCTGGTGGTCAGGAAGTCCCAGCATCCTCTTGTCTCTGCTCTCCGCAGCACTGGGGTTGAAAGCTCACACACAATCATGCCTGACTCTTATGTAGGATCTGGGTTTTAAGCCTAGATCTTCATGCTTAAACAGCAAGTGCTTTACTCACTGATTTGTCTCCACAGCCCCTAACACTTACCCACAAGAGATACTGAGAAATAGTTTTTTGAGTTTTTGTTTTGTTTTGTTCTTGTTTTGGGATAGGTAGGGTTTCTCTGTTTCCCTGACTGTCCTGGAACTCACTCTGTAAACCAGGCCAGCCTTGAACTCAGAGATCCACCTGCCTCTGCCTCCTGAGTGCTGGGGTTAAAGATGTGCACCACCACCATGGGAAAGTATTTATATTGGTGAACAAATTCAGGTGATCTAGTGGTTGAGTTACTTAGTCAGTCAAGATTTTATTATTCTATTGCTATGAAAGAGGAAAAGAAGCACAGGGCTGTGCCTCTGCAACACATGGTAGGATACAGGATTGTGACTCTTGTTACATACCACAAGGCAGTCCCTTTGGGAGAATAGCAACATCCCATCTTCTAAAACATTGCTCTCAATACCAAGGATGGCCAGAAGGAGAAGGCACTAACCAGAATGAAGTCAGAGATCCTGGGGACATTCTCCTCACTTTAAGGAGGGGAAGCATAGTAGCTAGGAGGACAGTAGGAATCCCTTATGCCTGTTTCACTGGGCATCTCTAGTGTTTGTTAGCACAGGAAGCTCCGTTACATCTTACAACCAATTGTTTGTGTTCAAATACTTCTGCCCAGGTCACTGGCACATTCATCCTTTTAACACTCATCCCAAATTGAGGACACCTCTGTGCCCATATCAGATGATATAGTCTTCTTTCTTCCTTCTGGAAGCCTTCAGCTAAGTCACTATCTGGGACTCCTTTCTTTGTTGCACATATGCACAGTGTGACCACTCTATCACTCTATCGCTTTGCATTCCTCCTGTGATGTGACCTTGACCCCTTAGAGATACTCCCTCTCAATTTCACCAATCCCATCATAAGGCTTCCCCGTGTCACTAGGCTCTGCAATCCACAAAGAATCCTAGTCATCAGGAAGCCTTGCCCCACAGACATTTACCTCCCAAGGGCCTGCATGAGTCAGGAGCTTGAGATCTGCTTGTTCATTGCTTGGTTCTGAACTGTCACTCATTGAATAACAAGAGTAAGCTACCCCTGAAAAGGGCTACTGCTCCATTTACTTTCCTATGTGTGAATTTGCAAACCTCTTTAAGGGGTCATCTAATTCTTTCTTTGACTTGGGAATGGCCTCTGTGAGTGGCAGGGGCACTTGGGGAGCTTAGGACTCAGTCCCAAGAAGCCCTGTAGCTCTCATCTGGCCATCTTAGCACACATGCTTTTGAGACACTCCTCTCAGTCTCCAATCGCTTTTTCACCAGGAGTCTCAAATCACCTTGGAAGACCATTTTAGGCAATTCAGTTGGTTGATCCAGCTGAGTTCTTAACATCAACTGCCAGTGGTGTAAATGAGCCATCCTGAATTTGGAGGCAGTCAAGTCTTCAGATGACTGCTACCCTAACCGACCCAAATCCAACCCAATCCAAGTAAGAATTGATCTGAGCCCTATCATCTCCCCCAAACACAATACACAACTAAGCCAGGAACTGAAGTCTGTCTTAATCACCCAGGAATGCCAGCTCTCCCAGGCTGCCCACCTCCTGCTCCAGGTGCACTAACGGCTGGCAGACGGCAGCTGGTGGTTCCACTCATGCAGATGTAAGTGGAAAGCAGGATTTAATTATGGAGTGGGTGAAGACTCAATCAATAGATATTTGCATAAAGAGATTTTTGTTTGCTCCCTTTGAATAACCTGACAAGTTATACTCCCACCTTGCTCCTGCCCCATCTGTCTGTGCTGTGTTGTGTCTTTGTTTGTGCTGTTGCTTTGGAGC